GTGGTTGAAGGTTTACTGTTACTTTCATTTGGCTTTTTGCTTTAATCAGCTACTCTGACATTTGACAGCTCAGCCTTCTATCAACTGACCTCCAGACAGACATAAGCATTGACATGGTAATGTATTACTTCTCATTCTCAGGAGGCTGAGATCTGAGGATCACGGTTCAAAGGCAGCCTGGGCAGGAAAGTCCGTGAGATTCTTATCTCTAATAAACCACCAGAAAACTGGAAATGGTACTCTGACTCAAGTGATAGAGTGCTGTCCCTACAGCATCCAGGCCCAGAGTTCAACCCCCACAACCAACCAAAAACAAAAAACAAAAACCACAATCAGCTAAAACTTACCAAAAGTAGAAACAAGACAGGAGATATCATTACAGAATATGCACATAGTAAAACAATAAAAATCACAAACAATTTCATTGTAATAAATTTGTCAAGTTAAATGGACAAATTCTTTGAAAGATAAAAACTACTATAGCTTACTTAAAAAAAAAAAAAAAGGAAAATCTGGGCTGGGAAGGTGGTTCAGTGGTAGAGCGCTTGCCTTGCATGCATGAGGCCCTGAGTTTGATTCCTCAGCACCACATAAGCAGAAAAAGCCAGAAGTGATGCTGTATATCAAGTGGCAGAGCGCTAGCCTTGAGCTGAAGAGGTGAGGGACAGCGCCCAGGCCCAGAGTTCAGGCTACACTATCGATAAAAAAAAAAAAGAAAAAAGGAAAATCTGAATAGCTCTGTATCTAGTAAGAAAACATAACATACATAACAGGTTTCCTAGCAAACAAATTTCCAACCCCATATTACTTTACTAATTCTATCATGTGTTTAGAAGAACTAATACCATTTCTACACAAAACCTTCCAAAAAAGAAGAGGGAACATTCCCAGAGGAGCAACTTAATAAACTAGACTTCAAAATTAGTAACTTTTGATGTTAATTAATGAAAACAAAAGCCATGAACTGGGAGAAAATGCCTGAAAATAATATATTTGATTAAAGACATATCCTGATATTTAAAGAACTCTGAAAAACTCAGGAATAAGAAAAATGCAAGCAAATAAAATGGGCAAATGTTTACCAAAGAAAATAAACACAAAGCAAGTAACAGGGAAAGACATGAGAAATGTAAAACTCCAGGTGAGGTGGCTGAAACCTAGAACTCTCTCTCTGCTGCTAGGAATAGAAACTGGTATAAACTTTTTGGGAAAACAGTTTGATGGCTCTTAAAAACAGAACACATATTTATCCTATGAGCAAGCCAATCCATTCTTTCAGTTTTCTTCCAATAGAAATGAAATATATGTTCACATAAAGAATTATAGACTGATGTTTATGGCAGCTTTATTTAGAATAGCCTCAAATTGGGAAAAAATGAACATCCATCTTTTAGTAAACAGATTAACTATGGTATATTTTATAGAATAGAATAATTCTCAGCAGCAAGAAGAAATAAACTATTGATGTATGCAACAACAGGAATACATTTCAAAAGCATGATGCTAAGCTAAGTGAAAGAAAATACAAAAAGCTACATACTAGAAGTATTCTTTTATTTCCCTTTTGGTTATACTGGGGTTTGAAATCAGCCTTTTACTAATTGAACCATGCTCCCAGCCCTTTTTTGCTACAGCCTTGGCCTTGCAATACTCTGTGCTTCCAGTGAAGCTGGGACTCTATAGGCTGTGATCACTATACTCAGCTTGTTTGCTGAGATTGAGGTCTTGTTAACTTTTTGCCTGTGTTGGTGTTGAATCATAAATCTCATTGCTACCTCCCAAGTAGCTGGGATAAGCATCAGCCATCAGTGTCAGCCTTTTTTATAAAGAGCATATTTGGGGGCTGGGAAGGTGGCTCAGTGCTCGAGGCCCTGGGTTCGATTCCTCAGCCCCACATAAGCAAAAAGAAAAAAGCCGGAAGTGGTGCTGTGGCTCAAGTGGTAGAGTGCTAGCCTTGAGCTGAAGAGCTGAATAACAGCGCCCAGGCCCAGAGTTCAGGCCCCACAACCGGACCAAAAAAAAAAAAAAAAAGAGCATATTTGGCATGCTAGGTTGTGAACTCAGGCCCTTGCACTTGCCCAACAAGCACTCTAACACTTGAGTCATGTCTCCAGGTCTGAATGCTGTTTTTTGTGGTTACTGGTAATTTTTTATAGCCATACATATTTGTTAAAATTCAAATTACACATAAAAACTGGTAAGTTATTATGTAATACTATATATATATATATATATATATATATGTATTGTGTGTGTGTGTGTGCACGCGTGCGCCACTCCTGGGCCTTGAACCCAAAGCTAGTATTCTACCACTTGAGCCACAGCTCCACTTCTTTTTTTTAATTAATAAGTTTTTTTAATTGTGAAAATACTGTACAGAGGGTTATAATCATATGAGCAAGGAAATGAGTACATTTCTTCTCAAGCATTGTTGCCTCCTCCTTTGTTT